CTCGATTGCTTCTTCCAGCCGTTCTTTCCTAGGAAGACTCATCACCCCGAGCGTTAGATGGAGAGTGCCGACGGGACGCACCGCGCCATCGGGGATGAGCGGCCGTTCAGCGGAAACTTGCTGTTGTATGGACCCATTGTCGTCTGAATGTGAAACCGACGGAATTGCAGCTTTGAATGTTGATAAAGAAGATTCCAGCTGAGGTAGCGAGATGTCGTTCACCAGCGGAAGGCACAGAAAGTGTGTCAGAGGAGGCCTCTTTTCCCTCTTAGGGAAAGTCCGTGGTGCTCCAGTTCTCTTCTTCTCGGACATGTTCCAATGACAAAGACGGGAAAAAGGGCTTGTTGATGGTTGAAGCAGAGGCCTAAAAGGCCTGAGGGTTTTCATATGTGATAAGAGTTATGCCGCTTGAGGACAGTAGTAAAGTGTCATATGGAAACTCGCCATAGCCAAAATATGTCCCCCAAATGCGAAAAGATAGTGATAAATGATCAGATACTACCACAATGAGTAGGAATAGACATAAATCAGAGTCATCAGCTGATTGAAGGACATGGAGATACGGATGAAAGGAAGCTCAAGTAGAGCTATCCACAGCTAAGCTGCATCGAGGAAAGACTATGACATATGACGCGCATCTTCGTTTCTCCTCCGCATTTCATCCGTAACCTTCTCCATCCTCGCCCTGTTCGGCATTCACGCATCCCCTTTATAGTCGATTGAAGGTCAGCTGTATAGCTCGAAAATCACCCAAAATGCTTTCGCGCATTTCTCGATCTGCTGTCGTCTCCGCCGCCCGTCCTTCTCTCCGTGTAGGCCGGATCTCAGCAACGGCGCCCACAGCCATACATTTTCAAACCCGATTGAACAGCGTCAGCCACTCGCCCCAGGCATCCCGTCGAGGGTTCCAATCCACCAGTTGCATCCGCAAGGGCATCTTCCCTGATTCCGCAGACCCTCCCGCCCCGAACCCGCAATCGAATAATGTCACCGGCGCGTCCACCCATGTCACGGAACCCTCGCCATTGACTGACGCGCAGTATCACGAATTCGCGGAGTACTATCTCAATGTGGTTCAGAATGAAGTGGAGAAGGCCCAGGAGGAGGGATCTGATATCGAGGCAGAATATAGTGTGCGTATTGCGGGCCTGCGTTCTAGATTTTTTTCTTCTTTCTTTTCCGTTTCCTCTCCGAGGCAACTCATACCGCCCTTGTGATCTGCAAGACATCTTTGGCTAACTCGCGGTTCGATATACGACCTCTAAATCTAGGCTGGCGTAATGAATATCTCACTTCCCGGTGTAGGAACCTATGTCCTGAACAAGCAGCCTCCGAACAAGCAGATCTGGCTCAGCTCGCCAATCTCCGGCCCTAAGCGATACGACTGGGTCGTCGAAGGAGACCGAATGCATGAGAAGCAGGATACACGTCCCTTCGGCAATGGACAATGGATCTACCTCCGCGACGGATCCAATTTAACGGATCTGTTGAATGCGGAGCTGTCGTTGAACATTGCAAAGGACGTCTACACCGAATTTGAGAAATAATTGTCGAGTGGCCAAGAAGGAGTATGTGGATAATCAGGCGATGTTTAAGGTTACCATATTTTATGATGAAGAGGTTACGGTATATGATATGGATATCTTGTTCAACATTTCAGTTTCGTCCATCGAAACGATGTGAAGACCCGCATCAAGTGTATATTCACTTGCTGCGCAGATATACAATCATGAATCGAAAGTTCACCAGCATAATGATCTTCTTTCCTCCCAGAGCCAGATTTCTTCACGACCAAAACGCCCATATATGTCATACTTGACGTGACTTAGGTCAACCCTTATCATGGCCAGGGTCGGATCTAGTAGTGATGTCCCTTTGCCTCAAGGCAAAGTGTCCTGACAGTGACGAACACACTGTAGTCAACAGTAAAGTCGCTCGCAGTGTGCGCACATGCATTGACTTGGATACGCGAAACCAGAAAAAGCCACGAAGGCCCGACGGCTGCAATTGTGGCGTGATTCCTATATCCTCCATCAACGTACAAGAATCGTGATTCCGAGGGAGGTCGTTTCGGTTCGGTAAGTTGGAGTACGGGCTACCAGTAACTCGTGCGGCGTTTCAGGAATCGGCACGAGAGACCTTGTGTCCTCTTGATAATATCTCCTGTCTCTGGCGGATTTACGCTTGCACGGAAACTGCACCTGGTGCCGGCTGATTATCATCTTTGGGAAGATCAGACTGCAAGTAGAAAACATTGTCAGCGACCCATATTCTGTGATCCTGAGGAATTATGATTCTGTCGAGGCAGAAATTGGCGAGCATACCACTTCAAAGATAACCCGAATCATCAAGCTGCAACTAGGGCAAACAGCAATATCTTCGCCGTCGCGCAAGTCATCGATTGCGATTTCGAATCTGTCGCCACAGGGGCACGGGTAATGGTATATCAGCAGATTTGGGTCGAAGGTCATGTCTTCGATCTCGATTTCGTCGTAGATGGAAAGAGCTTCGTCGGCCATATTGAGCGACCGTCTCTTCTCGTGTGCGCTGGCGAGTCAGATTATGATATTTCTATTGTAATGACAAAGTTCAAAGCAGTCTATATCTTTATGACGGGAAAACTTTTAGTGGGTCGATCATGTGACTGCGGGGAGTCAGATAAGGGCCAAAGTCACGACTCTGCAACTGAACGCGAGTGTCCTACTCACGTCACAAGTTTGAATGAATGGCATTGTATTCTTCAGGGGCAAGGGTATCTCCAAACAATGTAAAAGGGTTCCTAGACATTTAATCTCTGAATCTCCAACTTCACCGCCTCGATCTCTTTTATGAGCGATCCGTACCGTCGTGCGATCTCTCGCATCGGGCCAGACTCAAAATGCTCTTTGTCGCTACGAGCAGAAGGCTCATGAGCCTCAGCAGAGTCCACACCTTCGTACGCTTTCAGTTCCTCAAGAACCTTTCCTTGTTTCTCCTCCAGTCGTTCACGAGTCTCCTGGAGATGCTGGCGGTATCGGTCAAGGGCAGTAACAACCTCGGGAGTATAGAGTGTTGCTGCAGTGTCTAGTTTCATTATACTTTCGAAGTCATGAGTTTCAAGGGACCTTGTCATCATGCGGAATAATCTTTTTGATCAAACATACCTTAGCTTCGCTTCCACGCCTTGCGCAACCAGAGCAAGATGTTCAGCCTTAGCCTTGGTAGCCCTGGATAGCGCGCCGTGCTCTACGCGCTCAAGTAACACAACCGTATGCTTCAGTATCTCAGCGCGTGTTTCCAGGACCTTTGCCGCTGTTATCGCCATCCGTGCACGAGCAGCTGGTATTTGCGACAACTGTATCTGACGCAGGTTTTGCAGTCGCTCGCGGAGCTGTGATGCGAGAGGAGCCTGTGGTTTCGCCTTGGATTGGTTACGGCTTGTTCGAACACGAGCCCGTGTAGGCAATGTAGATGTATGCGGGATCGCAGGTGCAGACGCCGCGCAATCTGGGCTCTTTCCGGCGTTCGCAATTGCTCGGAGATCTTCAAGGGCGGACGACAAGGCGTTCGAAAAAGGTATGACTAGTGCAGGAATGATGGAATAGAAGGCGTCAATATCCGAAGCTAGGAGGGATAGAGCATGAGAATGTGCGCTCTCGTGGTCGTCCCCATCCTCGAGGTCAAGCCGACTAGGGGACGATTCCAGGTAGAGGGTAATCACGGCGAGAGGGTCGCGATACTGTCCAAACAAACTTTTAGTAAACTAACGCATATTTCGACTCAGATAAGTTCTATCCTGACATCATCCGGCAACCCACTGTCGGCGTCAAAAGCCAGCTGCTGTAGCGTCTGTTGCTTGATCTTTTTGCTTGCGCTTCGCACTCGACATCTTCTCAGTTCCTAAAAGCAGTAAAACCACGGGTCAAATCTGCATCGTATTTGATTCTTGCACGGCCATTTTCATCCACGCTGCCAATGCTCAAGTCAAGTGGCGCCTTGAACGTACTTCCAGTACTGCTTTTCTGGCTGGCTGCTCATCATTGGCCCGTGTCGAGCCATCGGCATTGAGTAAATTGGTTGTCAAATGCTGATAGAGTTTTCCGAATTGGGGATTATTTTCAAGGATAACTGGGTCGCAGGGTGGTATCATTTTCGGAACTGGCTTGGAGTCGGAAGTTCCCAAGATGTGTAAACAAAGCTGCAAAATCACCTGCCTATCTTTCCATGCTTCCGCGTTACCGCCAGGCCGACCCGTGACTACGGAGGATGACGGATGTAACTGCAACTACAAGGCACAGGCTACAGCTAGGTACAAGTCAAAAAAACAGTACAAGAAAGGTCGGATTTCGAGGCTTTTGCGCTTTCATTTCTCACATTTCTTTCGTAATCATACATGTATCTGCTGCGCCATAATCTTTTCCCAACGAATCCGGGCGGCGTCCTGCGAGCCCCGAGCACTCTTGAGTACTCACGTAGACGAGTACGCTCGTGCCTTGGTTCCAAGTTTCCTCTCTCAAAGCTCTATGGCCGACTTCGGGAATTTTGGAATTCTGCGAGGTGACACATTGTTCCCTCAACCATGAACCACGGAACCACAAGTACGAGCACGAGAGCTATGAAGTGGTATCATAGAAACAAGGTAATGGGTAGAAGAAACTGCCATGTTGCTGACCCTCAAAACAATTCAAGCCATCCGCCACGTGAGCTGATCCTGAATTGTGGCTTTCGCTCCCTGGACCTGCGCAGACTCGCCCGATAGAATAGTAAAAGGCAAAGAAAAAGAGGGGGAAAAACACACAAGGTTCGAACCCGGAAGACGAGAGTAAGATGGTTATGTACAGAGAGTCCAGGACTTGATTTCAAGACCGGACTGACTTCCAAGACAAAACGAGTCGCTAAAAGGGCATAACAGAATCTCAAAAGTCATGCGTCGATTCAGGGAAAATGCTGACGAGTAACTAATCATGGATTGCCACAGGAGGGCGTCATGAAGTTCACGCGAGTTGGAGCTGACAAAGGGCCTACTCTTCCTCGCTTTCTTCAGAATCATCCTCTGAATCATCGCTACTTTCATTCGCTTCCACAGACGGGAGAGGATCGGGAGAACGGCCGCCACCGCCCTGGAAACGAGAGAGGTTGCTCTCGAGCATGTTAATCTGAGCCTCTTGCTCATACTTGCTCATAGGCTTATTCTTCTTTGGCTTTGGAGCAGCCATATTTGCTGCAGTAGAAGCGGTCATATCCTCCTCTTCTATGACATGCGGGGCGTTCTTCTTGACGAACTTCAGTAACATCAATAGAACCTCATTAGGGAGCTCATCGATGTCAAGTTCGATCTCGGTCTCTTGTGTACCCTGAAATGAAACATTAGCACATACCATTTGAGATGACGGTGAAAGTTTCAAACTCACTTTCAAAGCTGGAACGTTGCTTTGGATAATCTTGAGGGCTTCCTGCATCTTCTTGTCCGGAAGACTACTTATTCCGTTCGAGATGATCTGCTTTTCGTGATAAGTGACGTAGCGCTGCTTTTCTGGCTTGGATGACTTGGAGGAAGTCTTCTTGTCCTTCTTGCCCAAGGGGATGGTTCCGCTCTTCTTCGAATCCTTCTTTCCGGACTTAGACTTGCTAGGCTTTTTCGAACCAGGTGGAGTCTTCTTTTTCTTCTGTGTAATCGCTTCCACTTGACGTGACATTTCAGCAATTTGTTTCTGCAGCATGGTTAACTTCTCGTTGTCGTAGTCGCTCTCATCTTCCTCTTCTTCGCTTTCTTCGGAGGAAGAGCTAATGCTCTGGTGTTCTGGGTGGGGTTCATGAGCCTCTAGATAACGTGTCTTCTGAGCCCACTTGTTTTCGAATATCTCCTGGAATCTCTGACCGGCCATGTAGGTAGGATCTCCTTGGATGTTGAACTTGAAGCAGTTCTTGAATATTTGACGCATGTCAACCTCAAATTCCTTGGCATTCTCGTACTGGCCAGTCTTGAGTTTGGACTGGACAGTGGAAAGATCCATTGGCTTCTTGATAATGCTGTGATAAGTCGGAATGTTCAGTGCAACCGGATCCACAGGGAAGTAGAAGGGGGCAGCCCAGTTGTAGTGCTTGGGTTTGTGGAGCTCATCCAAGACTTCCTGACAGAATCGCAGTTCCCACTGGTACTTCTTCTTCTTGGGCTTGGTGGAATAAGGCAAATCCCGCTTGGGTGGATGAATCGAGCGCTTGGGACGGCCATCAGTATTGGTAGAGTCACGACGGATCAAAGGCAGGCCTTCTGGTCCAAGAGCAAAAGTCGTGGCCTGAGGGGAAGTGGCGGTCGGGCGAGCTGTAGACGTCCCAACGCTAGTGCGCGGTTCCCGATGGGCCGCTGAAGTTTTGGTGGAAACCTTTTTCGGCTTCTTCTCTTCAACCTCATCAGCCTTGGGTAGGTTCATCATTTGCTTCTCGAATGTGCCTTTGAGCTTCAATCCCTCTTGTGACACCACGTGGTCGGGACCATTGAAAGTAATTGCATTTTGCACCATCAAATTGAAATCGTCCACGACGGCCTGAGCAGTCTTGTACTCATTATTCTTCAATTTGCGCTCGATTGTCCCAAGATCCATAGGATGCTTGATAATCTGCGGATAATGGGGGATGTTCATCTTGACCGGGTCAACAGGTTCGCGGTAGAAGCGAGCATCATTCATGCGCTTCAAACTCTGAATACCTTTGAGGACGAATTTATGTTGGACCTTAGTCATGGTCGCCTCACCATTCACAGTGGTGTGGGCAGGTGCTTCGGTCACAGGTGTGGGCAGATCAGGAAGCTTGACCTCAGCTGAGCCTTCATCTTCCAACTTGGTACGTTTGGCAGCGGGCTCATCATCGCCGTCTGCATCGCGCTCCCGGGATACCTTCGTCGGAGATATTGGAACATCTGGCGCGTCAGGCATGTCTTGGTCGATAGTATGCAGACTTGGTGCAGTTGGCGCCTTACTAGAAGCGTCATCACCGGGCATGGTGTCCAGTCTCGCACTAGTAGGATGATGAGGCAGCTCGGTCTTCACGCCAGCATCCTGTCCATTATTCTCCACCTTGGCATCGGACGACGAATCAGTCGGTGGCTTTGATACATCTTGCGATGCCTCCGTGTCTTGCGGTGAGGCCTGGTTTGTACCAACAGTTGTGCCCGTCTCCTGTATCACAGGCGCATTAGGAACAGAGTTGTCCCCGTTTGGCTCTTTGTTTGGTCCATCCGTAGACGTGGAAGTAAGGGGTTTCTCTTCTTCGTTCTCCGTTGGTGTCGTTGTCGATGGTGCAGGGACGTCCGCAGGTGGTTGAGTAGGTGACTTTGGGGGCGACACCGTGGAGCCGGCGCCATTCGTCAACGATGGCTGTTCAGTACCGTGGCCATTCACCGCGGCGGTCTTGTCATTTCCTTCGTTCGTACCATTGGTCGGCGCTGCTTCCGTCACATGATTATGCGGGCTACTTCTAGGAAATTAGCGAGCTCGTCGATTTATCAACGTGGTGACAGAACTCAGTATTGTAAAACGTACCTTGTGCGACCAATGTCAACAGATGAGGCACCATTTGGCGACGGCGGCAGTTGAGGCTTGTCCTCCTTGACACCAGGAGGAGCCTCGGGAGGCGGCGTCGCCATTGAGGACAACAGTTATCACCTTTCTTGGGGAGCCCGAAATACAAGGATCTAACGGAGCAGGAAGAGGCTGTTCTCAGTTGGAGTTTAGATAGCGACAAACGACAATAATGCACTGAATAGGTATTCTCTGCGCTAACACAGACTAAATGATTCGATTCGGTAACCCGTCAAGCAGAAAATCTGGTTAGATGACAGAAGACACAAGGAGAAGTGTTGCTTCTAGCGGTCGCAAAGAGTCGCGACGCCGAGAAGTGTTGCGGAAGATACAAAAACGAGGAAGATTAGCGCAGGTCGGAAGTGGAGAATGCGACAAGGAGGAATTTATATTGCCAAGAGGCGGTAACTGAGTACCAGTCACGTGGGCGGCAAATCAATTTGACTAAGCTGGAGGCAAAGTCGTAGGAGAAGCGGAGAGATAGAAGATTAGCAAAGCGGACAAACTTTGCATCAACCAAAAGAGGAGTCAGAGAAAGGCTGAGAATCAGGTGATCTTCACGTAACAGTTCTCTGACACGTGCCTCTGTCAACACCTGAGGAAAAGAAAAGCGTTCAGCAGAATGGGGGTCAGGTCAACACTGAAGCTTGGTGCGTTCAGAAATAAGAGTTATTTGACAGGAAATAAGTAGGTGCAGGGGGCTGCAACTGGGATTATGATGTGAGAGCGCGTCGCGAAATACGCGTTGTGATGATAAGAGGTAGTAACTTGATGAATGTGACAGCGGTAACCGAGGATACGCAGATAATATGATGAAATATTAATAAATAAGGGCGGTCAGCACTCAGCAGGGCAGACGGGGAACAGATAAGGGTCAAGGTGAATAGGAAGGGCCAGGCGTGACCAGGCGCGGGTGCAACGCAGCTCTCAGCTCAGCTCCAGAAACAGAGACTGAGAAAATCCGAGGAGGGTGCTAGAATCCTTAAGTACGAACGGCCGCGTCGCGCTCGTCCGTCCTCTGCCGCTAGCCCCATCGGTGGCGCTAATCCCAATAATTCTAGTTCAAGCCATTTAGCGGTCGCTGATTGGTTGCGCGATGACGCGTTCTACGAGATCTGATATATTATTGGTTGTGGCTTAGTCTAGTGTGGGACCTTTGTACCAGAAGTTTTTCTGTCGGAACCATCATCCATCTTCGAAAAAGACACTCTTAAAATGATCACAAAATTTTTTGGGTCGAATGGATCAAAACAAGCTACACAAGAAGTCAGAACAAGAGGAGTTAATCTGGCTGTAATAAAGTGAGTTAACTGCAGACTCTTTAAGCCATTTCAGTTGTGTGAGATAATGGATGAATTTGAGCCGAAACTACCTTAGTCAAGTGGGAGGACAGATATGACATACCCAATCCTGTTAGGCATTCACATTCACAAAATCCTTGGTTTGGAAAGAGTTGTGCTGAGGCTTAGTCAGGGAAAGATCCATGTGCTGCCCGCCTTCTGATTATGGAAGTCAGGGTTGAGCCCTGAGTCAACCTTCCTTCCATCCCCCTGCATTGTAGGCTTGTAGCTCGTATCAGGCCTAGCGCGTCACATAATGATGCAAGACCGCCTGATGCCAAGAGGTACCACAGATTGCGCAAGGTAAACAAGAGTCGCCCAAGGCCCTTTTCCTTTTCTGGCAATCGCTCATATGGACATATCTGACCATGACAGAGGTAAGTACCGTAGTAAACCCAGATAGTATGTCTCAATGAAGGCATACTAAAGGAGGATTTGACTCAACACACCTACTTCTCCTGAACAGCAAGAGTCCATGGCTCCGTATCAAATGCAGCCGAGAGTACTTGTGGCGCTGCCGCAGCCTTGACAATCAACATCCAGCGAAGAACCCATCCTGAAAAGCACATTGTACCGTAATTGGAAACTGGAGATGACCGTGTCTGAGCTGCCTTCCCTGACTTTGACTGAACGCTTGTTTATCAGGTTGTCTTGAAACAGGGTGGTTGGAAACATACAGCTTCCTGCTCGGAAAGGTCCGTCATAATTGGTGATTAGTAGGCTGACTGCATTAACGTGCTCAGCATAGTTCAACGGATTCAGGAGGAGTCAAACGTATGAATAGCACTGGTGGTCTGATGCTGTTGCTTGATGTCGAGGTCAACAGAAATCTGCCAAAAAAGTGTCATGAGCCCTCATTGTGAAATGAAATGAAGTGAAGGAGACGATGAAGTCTCTTTTCTCATGGGCGCGGTCTTAAATTTTTTGGGGGGTAAAGACAAGCATGACTGAAATTTTTAATCAAGCAACGAAAGGTAATCATGTTCTGCTGAGGCCTAGGCAGGTGACAATTCACAGCCATTTCTTCCGCTGATATTTCAGAAATCATCTGGCGAAGGCGACCTAAATAGCACTCTTCATACTCGTGCTGAATGAACTTTGTTTAAAATCCTTGAGCAGTATTTACTTCGTCGGACAGTAGCGGATTAGATAAGACATTTGATCGTGGAACTTCGCAGACACTAGACCGTTTACGGTCTAGCGCAATATAGTCTCTACAGAACTTTTTTTTCCTCCTCAGTAACACTGTCCAGATACGGCGACCGTTGGCAGCTCGACAAGGTCAAAAAGTTCAGGTCTGCATTGATCCTCATACTTCTTGGCGTCTGTCTTGAGTCACCTTTACCTGCACATTCTGCCAAAAATGGGCAAAAAGGCTTCTCGCCCTCCCGTTTCGAAGACTTCGCCCGCAGTGTCCGGCCTCACATACACCGGGAATAAGTCTTCGATACTGAAAGCGTCGTTTGCACCCTCTGAGTATCAATTGGCGCTTTTTGCCTCTGTTATTCAGGGTCTCGATGCTCAGCACCTCCGAATTCACGACACAAATACCGGCCGGTTACAATGCGAACATGTCCTAGGTCCCAAGGAGACTGTCACATCTCTAGATTGGGGCTATTTCCCTAGCAGGCAAAGAGATCGTGATCAGCAAGGGAAGAAGAAGCGGAAGCGCCATTCTGATGTCAATGGTGCCAGCAGTGGATTTGAGCAAGGGGATGTAGTTGTTGCTTTTGGTACAAACGCCTCCGAAATCCGCATGTACTCGCCTACCGAAGACAAGATTGTGGGGGCACTCGATGGTGTACATGACAAAGGTGTTGTGGATTTTAAGTTCACTGCGAACCGACCGGGTCAGGAAGGTTGGAGTATTGGTGGTGATAACAAACTAGTGCAATGGGATCTGCGCACCGGAAAGAGTACCAGGTTGGTTCTTCAACGCATTGATGCCTCAATATAACTCCAACTGACAATGATTTGTAGAACAATTCATCTACCAGCATCCACAGGTTATAGCACCCTTTCTCGCCCCGTGCCCTCCAATCCGCCCGTCGTTTGCGCCTCCCAAACGCCCTACCTGATCGACGTTGAGGGGGATGAATCGACAGCATCATTCCCAGCGATGCGGAACCAGATTCGGGAAATTATCACTTCCTCCACGGAATCCCTCGCGACAGCTGTCTTTCTTGCCTCTGATGGCGATCGCTACATCAATGTCTTTGACGTTGAGGGCCGCAAGCTTGTGTTGAACCTCGTTGCAGATACAGAGGTATCATCATTGGCGTTGACTTCGGGTTCAGGACAAAGACCAGATGACGCTCTGGCGATGGAGAAGCAAATCCTCGCAGCTGTGACCGAAGATGGCACTATTGAACTTTTCACAAGACCATTCGTGCCGCCAAAGGATCAGAGCTCCAAGACCAGTCTCAAAGCGAGGGGAAGGCAGCTCACGAGGCGGGCGGAGTCATCAGTCAAGATCACTCAGTCTGAGACTTCGGATGCCTCTGTACCTGTCGTCGCAGCAACTTTCCAAGGAACTGATATTCTAGTTGTTTGGGCCGAAGGAGGCATTATTCCGGTCTTTGAGCGCATCAACTGTATTGATATGGATACTGAGGAGCTAGCTTTCACCGGGTTGAAGAAGATTGTCAAGACCAAGTCTAGCTCGGTTCTTGCCTCGATTACAACGAATGGAATTCGAGCCGCAGGTGAAACGCAAGTCGATGAATCTCGAGCAGTGGTCGAACAAGGGGACCTCGTGGAGGATGATGTCGAGATGCAAGACACCAGGGCGGATGCAACAGTGGCCGACAGTGAGGAGGATTCGGAGGACGACGACGATGATGCGAAGAAGCCGGTTGAGAAGAAGGGGTCTCGGCAGCGGAAGCAGAAGAAGGATGCAGATAGCGACGTTGAGATGCGATCAGAAGCCGGAGATGAAGAGGATGCAGAAGAGGACGAAACGGGAGAGCCATCCTTTGGCGAGCTTTTGCGGGCCAATGCTTCGGAAGAAATTGATGTGGAAGCCGAGCTTGAGGATGACGTCCGTATTGGATCTCTCGTCCCTGGAAAACCCAGCGCAGCGGTGCAGCAGATCACCTCTGGCGTCACGTTGTCTACGGTCCTTACGCAGTCGCTCAAGACGAACGACAATGGAATGCTCGAATCATGCTTCCATACTGGTGATCTTACCATTGTCCGTGAAACCATTCAACGTCTCGACTCGTCGCTCGCTGCCACTCTGCTCCAGAAGCTGGCCGAGCGTCTCTCATCTCGCCCGGGCCGGTACGGACACCTTCTCGTGTGGGTACAGTGGACGTGTGTTGCTCATGGTGGCGCTCTCGCTGGCAAGCCAGAACTGCTAAAGCGGATGTCTACCCTGTTCAAGGTTATGGACCAGCGCTCGTCGAGTCTGTCTTCCTTGCTGTTGCTCAAGGGAAAACTCGACATGTTGCATGCGCAGCTAGGACTTAGACAGTCCCTCCGCGGCGGAGCCGAGGGCATGGACAGCGAGGATGAGGACAATGTCATTTACGTCGAAGGCCAGGAAGAGTTGGAGGATGAGGATAGCGATGCCGACACCGCGAAGAACGCAGTAACGCCGCGGACCAAGTCGATACGCGATCAGACCTACGACGAGGACGAGTCTATGATTGACGGTGAGCAGTCCGGTCGGGACGAGTCGGATGATGAAGAGGATGAAGGCAGCGATGAGGAGGATGAGAACG